AACGACAAAATTTTCCGCTCTTACAACTCTATTTTGTCAGCAGGCAAATGCAATTCGGCATTCGGATAGTACTCACGAAATCGGATACACTTCGATGAGGAAAAGAAAATTGACGGGAAACAGAAAAATTCAGCCCAATAGGGGAAGTCAAATTTTGCATTCTATGGTTAATATGACTCTGGAGAGTTTCCTGGTTCTCGTAAAATATTCGAGTGAGGGATCTTAGAAGATTTTGCTTGCAAAGATCATTCCGGTTTTATGATGATGCTTTATGAACAAGCTTCTTAGGAATTCACATTGATTTACGATTAGAGCATTTCGAAGAGTCAAAGAGATTCATGAATATTCAACTTCATTTGGGTATATTCAAAAAACTGAAATAAACTCGAATATATTTGTCAGATGCACTGTAAGCCAAGCAAAAAAAACAGCACCCGCTCCTGATTCACTTTAGTTACAAAACGTTTCTAGAAATCATTCAGCTGTCATTCATGGAGAAATCATATGAGGTGTATGTATATCCATTATAGCCGAAAGAGTAACTTGAAATCCAAATAAACAATCAAACCTTAGGCTAGAATGAGCCATTTGCTGATTTTTTTTTGTAAGTAGAAACTCCTAAATACCTAATTGTAACGTTGATAGCTTGTTGGCTGAGCTGATGAGTTGGACGTCATGCTCATGAGTTGAGTCAAAGGATTAGATCGAAATGAAATTAAATGTGAATTCTATATGCTAATTCTTCATTGCATTGTCGACCTTGGGTTTAGCAGCATTCAAAGATTACTCTCTCTGAGTGTATGTTCGTTAAGCTGGCAATACAAAACGAGGCTCGAGCTATAATTTCCAGCTTAATTTTTCGTCACTAACGCCGTGCGATCCACAAATTCACTCATGGATACCCCTTTAAGAATTATTCAGACCATGTTGGCAGGTGAGCCATATGGCCGGTTGGCAGAATGCCTTTTGAAAAGCGAAATTCTTCTACGGGAAATCGTCGTGCTTAGTGAACACGTCAGTGCCTCCGGCAAATTCGTGCTTGTGGCCTGAGGCGGTTTGGAGTGATGGAGCAAAGTCTACCGATTGATATACACAGCAGTAAATTATTGGGTGGGTCCTTCAAGTTTTCTTCTTCTCGTGTGTTCATTGCTAATGAGCGTTGAGAAATCACCTAACCAATGTTATTTAGATTCTGAATGCGTATATTTGAGATGATGCGATTTTTTTTGAGCCATTGTATTGCAGATTGGTTAGTGAATCGACGACATTGTAGTAAGGATTGGCAGAAGAGTGTTTTGGTGATACGCGAAAAGATCAAACATGCCATACAGGATATGCCCGAAGATGAACGCATTCTCAAGCTTCTTCAGGGCGCTTGTCAGTATTTAAAGTTATTTTGCCTACTTTACTGCCAACATTTCGTGTAATTTCACGGCACAGAAACATCTTCATCGGTGTCAAGTATCACTGCATAAATGAATCATTAGCAGGAGAGTTGCTCGGTATGTCAAAAGAAATGAACATTTGATATAACAGTAGGCATAGATGGCAGTTAAATAGCGAAGCTGTGTTGTCCTAACTTAAGCAGAACCTTTTTGAAGATATTCCTAAAATCACGTTCATTTTCAGACATCAATTATTTTCACTGTAAGCGAATAGTGGAAATCCTGAAAGAGACTGAAAAGGATACGAAAAATTTCCTTGGTTATTATTCATCGCAACGTATGAACGATTGGCTGGTATGTTTGCTGCTCGTCGACTTTGATAATTTTGTGTCATTATCCACGATGATCCGTGAAAGCATCTTCTCACCCGTCATCAATTTCAGTTCATATTTTACGGAACTCAATTTTGTTTGCAGCAAATTCAACAATTGTATGAAAAGGAGAACGTGAATTTGGCCGAAGCAGCCCAGATTCTGCAACGACTAGTGCAGTATGAAATACCAGCACTGAAGAAGCAAATCGCAAAATGTGATCAAACTGTTACGGTATGGTCAACTGTCATCCAATTTCACTGATTTTGAATTTTATTTAACTAGTTCGGTCCAAACTTTACTTTTTTGGTTGTAATATTCATGTTAGATCCGTGAGATTTTTTCGATTCAAATAAGGCATCCCTTATCTGATGCTCAAATGTCGTTTGAATCCTTTTCTTATGTGATGTCTGTGAGAAATTAGCTTCATCTGAAGTGTACTTTTCCATTTGTGAACTGAATAAATCGGTGTTCGCACACAAAGGTTTCTTTATTGGTACAGCCCAAATATTTAAGTGAAGTATCCATGTGAAGTGGACATAATTATAGGATTGTGGAAGAAAAGAGCAGGAATATGTGAAGCAGTCAATAGATGCAAAAAAGCAGTTCGAGAAAGCACTGAAAGATTTTGGTATCAAAGGTAATACCTAAATCGAATTCGATATTGTTTTCAAATTTGTTGATGGCTTGTGAATGTCTAACAAGATGGTGAATCGGGTTCAATCAGTCGAATAACCAATCAACATCGCCGTTCTCGTTGGCATTCAATAAGTTTTCCTCTAGGTCAGCATATGCGTCGTGAACTGATGTCGTTGGCAATTGATTTACCGTCGTTCTACATTGGAATCGCCGAAGAAATCCGCAGATTGCGTGAACCGTTGCAATACTACTACGATTTTAGGAAATATCTTCACCAGTGAGTGTGCTTGAATAGTCTTAGAAATTCATTCTGTTTGAACGTTCACATGGAATATTCATATATTTACTCGATCGAATGCGGCTTGTTCTCTTGATTGTTGTGGATGCTGTTTTTTTTNTAGAATATAGAGGATGGTAATTCGTCTCAAAATCAATCACTGGATAATGCAGTTGCTAGATATATCATCATCAGTTCAGAGTGAGAATGTTCTTCTGAAGTGAATATGCAGACCTGTCAGCTTCTCGAATTCCATAATTACCAGTTAATTGCTTTAAGGAACAATGAACCTAAATCGGTGTTATTACCGTTGTGTTCGTTGATTATCAAAGAAGGAACTGAAACAACGGTATATGAATGGAAACGAGGCGTGAAACCAACACGAGTCGAGCGACCACCTTTTGATTCGTTAATGATGCAAAATGATGACGAAGTCAGTTCATCTTGAGCATCTCTTCAGTGATTCTTTAGATTGATTTTTGCGATTGCTTTACATTTGATTTCAATTGTTATTTATTCAGTTCGGATTCATATCTATTACGTGAAACGTGGAATTTTGGGACGGTTCAAATAGATGCTCAGAGCATATCGTTTCTCGGAATGAAACGAACGATACACGTACCGATCGTTTTCAGAAGAATGAAGTGGATGATACAATCGATTTTGGAGATGGTGCTGGACTGACGAATGAAATCAATTTTGACGTGGATTCGGCCGAGATTGACTTTGGTGATGAGGGTGGCGGAATTGAGATTGAAGTTGTTGGCGACGATCAAGGTGAGTTCGAGTGTGAATTCAGAGGTGATTTCCAAACAGCCTGTATAGTAGATTAGTACCGAATTATTGACAATGTTGAATTCAGGACAATTGGAAGATGGTGTGGCGCGCGGTGAAGAGGCTTTAATGTTATTGGAAAATATCGAATCTCAGAAACTGATTCTATCCGAATTGAATGAGGTTACATCCGAAAGAATTTTCCAATTTTGAAACTGTTTTTTTAGATTAATCTGAGTTTGCCTTTTAGTTTGGAAATGTTTAAATTTCTTGGGGTCCTTTTGATTCATTAATGTCTCGTTTAAGTTACAAATATTCCTCACATCGAGACGAACTGACGAGATGTGTGAGAGTTCATCAGATATCTACATCTCTGGAATGGAGGATCGACCAGCGCTCCTAAAAGCGGTACGTTTTTTTGGTAATGTGTATGATGTAGACAGGTAGTTAAACATTTTGAATTCCACATACAAGCCTAAAATGAACCATCTATTAAGAATTCAAAACACTTTGTGACATCCACCCTTCACGGCTGAATGAGATGAAAAATTTGATTTTCATTTCTGAATTTCAGACTGCTTATTCGGATTTCAGACTTATCCATACACACACTGAATATCACTGCGCATATTACGTGAAATTATACTTCATATTGTCCAACAGTTTAAGTTCAATTCAATTGCGTACTCCAATTTTCAGATTGAAATTTCACAAATCGACGCTTGGTTGCAACAGGTGAACGGTGTTATGGCGAAACTGAATGATCCACAAAAACTGCATTTGTTCAAAATTCGATCCTCACCTCAGTGAGTTTTATGTGATTGTTCAATCTAAGGTTGTGTATCGTGATGCGATAAGATGGTTAGCGCTTTGAAGTATTTAAGAGTACCAGTTGTACGATGCCAACTCTCTGTTGTATTTCACCATTTACAACGATGTCAGCAGTGTATTGGCTGCTTGTTGAGGGACAGTAGCAGCTTGTGATTGAATGCATCCATCATTTGACTCAGTTTTTGAGAAATACTTGTGATCCGCTCGACAACAACTTTCAGTTATGTGGAAACTTTAGTAGAGAATCTCGAACAGAAACGTTCAATTGAAAGTCGATATGAGCGATTGCGCACTCTGATGGTTGAAAGGAGTCAAGAAGCCAGGGAAGCGGCCACAAAAGCGCAGTCTCAACTCAAAGACGTGTCGATCGCAACAAGAGTGCTTCAGAAACAAGTATGTTGATGAAGAAAATCTTTGTTTTACATGTGTTAACTGGAAATTATGCAAAATTTAGCGATTTATGCGAATGTTTCTCGTCGATATTTGTTTGTGAATTGTTTGAAATTTTCAGCTAGAAGAGGAAATCTCAAAGAAATATAATGGACGAACAGTGAACATTATGGGAGGAATTCAAGCAGCTCTGATGGCCTCGTGATTTCTGAGGAATCTGGTCTTGTGATGATAGTCCATTGAAAATCGATGTGATAATCTTTTATGGATTCTTTGATGT